GATAGAGTTCTGGTTCCATAGTATCGTTTGAAAGGGATGATAAGAATTGGCAAAATAGGTAGAAGAATAAATAGTGAGATATAAGAAGAGAAAAATAACAGTGTTAAGAAAGGATAGTCAAAAATAAGAGAGATTTAAAAGTGATGTGGGTTCAGAAATATGAGAAAAACTATCAGCATTCGAATGCTGCCTTCCAGAATGATGTACAATGGTAAAGGTGTACTATTGTAAGGCTAAGATCCAACGCGCAAGTTGACTCTGGGGGAGCTTGTGGCTTAACAAGAACTTAAAAGCAGAATAGTTGGTGATCAAAGTAAAGTGGGATCCGTGGAGATACTGGTGAAAGTAAGAAATAGACCAGACGACGGCCAAACACTCCTGTTCAGTGACAGAGTAGTTTCGTTTAGCGGCCATTATAGTTTTGCTGGCATAACAGATGACTTTCTCTCTTCTTTGATTGTCTTTTTAGGAGAGTATAGCTCCGAGAGCTATCTCAGAAGCATCGGTAAAAAGAAGGAATTTTCTCGCAAAATCGGAGTACGCCAGAATAGGAGCGAGATGAGTTTCTCTTTCAATAACCTGAAGGCTTCGTGCTGCTTTTTAGTCCATATGTACTTGAAATCCTTCTTCAGGAGTAAATTCAAAGAAGCGGCTATCTTGGAGAAATTCAGGATAAACCTCCGGTAATAAGAGGCTAGGCCAAGAAACCCACATAGCTGTCGAAGGGTCTTGTGCACTGGGAAATTCTAAACAGTCACTACTTTCTTTGGGTTGGTAGAAATCCTCTCGGACCCAATAACGTAGTCAAGAAATTTAAGCTCCTTCTTGGCAAAGTGACATTTTCGGGGACTGAGTCCTAGGCCTGCCTTCCTAAGACGCTCGAAAACTTCCCTTAAATATCAGAGGTAATCATCAAATGTCAGGGAGAAAACGTTGATGTCATCAAGATATACGACGACAAATTTACTATTTACGTCTTGAAAAATAGTATCCATGAGCCTTTGAAATGTGGCCGGAGTGTTGGTGAGGCCAAACGGTATAACGTTGAACTCAAAGGTGCCGAATTGGAAAATAAAGGCAGTTTTCTCTCTGTCTTTTTGCTTCATTTTGATCTGCCAGTAACTACTAGCAAGATCTAACGAGGTGTACCAAGAAGAATGTTTGAGTGTATCAAGGAGTTCATCGATGCGAGGTAAAGGATAGCTATCCTTCTTTGTAACAGAGTTGAGGTGATGATAATCAATGCAAAAACAGGTCTTATCCTTCTGTTTGACCAGGATGATCGGGGAGGCCCAGGGGCTAACAGAGAGCTGATAATATTCTCTTCAAGCATTCTATTAATTTCCTTCTCAAGAAATTCTTTCTTCTTGGGGTCATATGGTATGCCCTTTGCTTGATTAGGACCGAATCACCGGTGTAAATGCTATGGGTAACTAGGCTGGTTCGGCCTAGATTCTGAGTCGTCCAAGCGAAGAAGTTATCATTATTACTAAGCAGCTCATACAACTGATCTCAGTCTTTCTCTTCAAGTTTCCCGATATTAATCTCCGGCGCAACTTCCTCAATATTATCGAAATAAAAATTATAAATCTTGTTTATCCCATCCTCCAAACAAACATCACTGCTTTCAGATCTTTTACCATCCACGTCCCACCAATCTTCTTCCAACGAGGCGACGGGGAACGAAACATCATCTTCCTCAAAATAACCGAAAATCTGATCCTCTAACTCTTCCTCTTCATACTCGCTTTCTGTCTCTTCATCTTCTGACTCCGATTCTTCATCATTCTCTTGCGGCTCTGTTGTTCGAGGAGACCGTTCTTCTTGAAGTGGTATGTGCTGTAATTTGCGAAACTCTACAGGCACAGCAATCTCCTTGCCTTTCCATACAAAGGTCATGTCGGATCGAGTATAATTGATCTTGGCACTGACCTTTGAAAGCCAGTCGTTCTCTACAATGGCTTAGTAGAACTGGGCGTCAGTGACCACAATGTCAACAGGAATTCTCACTCCTTCCACAATGAAGAGGAAATCAGAAATCTCACCAATAGCCCTTCTGCTTTGTCCGTGGATATTGATCATGTTGA